GGAGAGCAGTTAGGTGCAATCAGGCCAGCAGGGGAGGACAGTTAGGGGCAATCAGACAGGCAGGCAGGTGAGCAGTTAGGAGCCAGCGGTCCCAGATTGGAGAGGGTGTAGGCCGGGCTGAGGGACACCCCCACCCCGTGCACGAATTTCATGCACCGGGCCTCTGGTGTCTTATAAGGCATCTCTGTACATTAAGATATTCAAAATCCCCAACTGAGAATGGACTTAGAAATATTTTTTATTAATGAAGCTGAAATAGAGGTCTGGCACTTGAGGAAGTGTTGTAATGAAATTGACTATTTTGTGAACTGAGGAATCTCTCTTATTTCTCCCATTTGCCCCCATTTATCCCTCCTATTACACACTGTGTTTGTTCACACAAGTTAATTGCAGTGTATTGTGAAAATTAATGTTTATTTCTATAACTCCATACAATATAATTTATTGCCAAAAAATTCTCTTGTGCTTTGAATGATCATAATTTGTTCCTCAGTTTTTTTAGTTTTATAAACTGAAAGTATGTAAGTCATAAACACTTAAAAGGCAGTTAATGTGAAATTATTATGTTGAGGGAAGTAAATCAAGGCATTTTACTGAGGACGTTCAGGGGCGGTTCGAGGGCTGGGAGGGCAGTGAGATACCATGTCCTCAGCCTGGCCGTGATCTCCCAGCTTCACAGGTGCCGGAATCCTGAAATCATTATTTCAATGATTTTTTAAAATCATGAACTTAGACAAAGAAGTACTGTTACCCAGAAGACCTTTAGTGCCTTTTTAGAAGAGTTTCTGCCAGAAGTTATTAGTTTATTCATTAATTAAACTCTTTATAAAAATATTTTTCTTATTGATAATATATTTCTAAATTATGAGACAGGATATTACCTTCAACCATGATTTTTGGAATAAGTTTATATGCGAAAACTACATGCAAATGTAAAGGAATAGTACATTTTTTTCATTTCCCATTCAGTTTTTAATTCAGGTTTTAAAATTGTACTTTGAATTATGGTCCTTATTTTCTTTACACTAATTTAAATGTATAAATCCTATTTTTATATGCAGGACTTCTTAATTACTCAACTGACTGGGAAAGAACTCTTTGAGATTTGGAAGGTCATCAATCCCATGGGGCTACTGGTGGAAGAATTGAAGAAAAGGAATATTTCAGCTCCTGAACCGAGACTTACCAGGCAGTCTGGAAGCACCACAGCTGTGCCTCTGTATTTTGTTGGCTTATACTGGTTAGTAACATTTTAATCTTAATTTCATTACATTGATTGAAAGCCTTAAAAAAATGACTTTCACAGTTCCTCAGTAGAACCTCGAATTGTATTAAAAACTATTTAAAATCTCATTCCTGTGATTATGTACTACTTAGGGAAAGGTCAGTCATCTGTGGATTGCTAATAGTATGTATCATTCTTTCCACCCTGGATTTTCTTTCTCTTTTTTAAAATATATTTTTACTAATTTCAGAGAGGAAGGGAGAGAGAGAGAGAGAGAGAAGAGAAACATCAGTGATGATAGAGAATCATTCATTGACTGCCTCCTGCATGCCCCCTACTGGGGATCAAGCCCTCAACCCGGGATGTACCCCAACCAGGGATCAAACCTAGACCTCCTGGTTCATAGGTTGCTGCTGAACACTGAGCCACACGGGCCAGGCTCTTTTTCTAATTTTAATTTTATTTTTCAATTACCGTTGACAATTTTGTATCCTCTTTTCAGGTGTACAGCATAGTGGTTAGACAGTTATATAATTTACAAAGTGATTTTTCTATATTTCCAGTACCCACCTGGCACCATGCATAGTCATTACAGTATTACTGACTATATTCCCTATGCTGTACTTTATTATTAATATTTTTAATATATTTTTATTGATTTCAGAGAGGAAGGGAGACAGGGCGAGAGATAGAAACATCAATGATGAGAGAGAATCATTGGTCGGCTGCCTCCTGCATGCCTCACACTGGGGATTGAGCCCTCAGCCCAGGCATGTGCCCAGCTGTGACCTCCTGGTTCATAGGTTGATGCTCAACTGCTGAGCCACACTGCCTGGGCTGTGCTGTACTTTACATCTCGTGACTATTTTGTAACTTCCCGTTCGCACTTCTTAATCCCTTCACCATTTTTATGCTAACAGTAGCTTTTGATAACCAGCTATTACTATAGAATTTCATGGAATATATGTTAATCTAAATATTTCTGTAGAAAAAAATAAAAGTTTTGATTCAAGTTTTGCAGATTTAACAGTAAGCCACACTTGTAACAGCTTCAGCTGAGCCAAGAACTGGAAAAAGAAAGGTTTAATTGTCCATCAAAATGTATAAATCAACTCATGTTCAGAACTTTATAGTTTTCTTAGGGAACAGTGACCTGCCCCAAATTGATTTCAAGTGGATTTGAGGGTTAAATGTAAACAGTGAATATTAAGATAACTAAGAAGTTAGGTAAACATTTTTCTAATCGTATATGATGTAGGGCTTTTTAGCTATAAAAGCAATGGAGGACATCACAGAGGAGAAAATGGGTGGTGGTATAAAGTTTCACCGTTAGTTTTAATTAAAGTGTAAAGCAAAATGTAAGATACTCCTTTGCTCCTCAGATGAGCAACCCTTAAACACAGCCTTTATCAGCAGTCCATACACTATTGCTGGTAGAAAGAAAAAAATGGTACAATGTTTCTATTCCTTCTTGTGGATGATTTTGCCAAAATAAGGTCTACAAGGCAAACTGATGTGTGGATGCACCAGGTAATTTCGGACTGCTGCTGCTGTTTTTACTCTAGTGATAAAAAGTTGCTTGCAGAAGGACCTGGGGAGACAGTCCTGGTTGCAGAAGAAGAAGCTGCTAGAGTGGCACTGAGGAAACTCTACGGATTCACCGAGAACAGACGGCCTTGGGACTATTCCAAACCCATAAAGAATTTCAGAGCAGAAAAGACCATCACTGCCGGCTAGCCAGCCAAACATGTGGGAACCTGAAAGTTGTAAGCAAAACTTTGAGACAAGAGTCAGATGTCCAAACCTTTACATTTTTCAAATTGTAAAGAAATATGTTTTATTCCTTATACCGAGTTCCTAAAAGTAAACAAGTATTCATCAGGGCACAGGTTTTGTTTTTTTAAAAATAATTTTCGTTTCATCATCGTTTTTGATGTTTTCCCAATAAATTTTTTCTAGGTCCTTGGTTTTATTATTGTATATGACTTGTACAATTAGGTGTATTTTATTCCCTTCTAGCTTTGAGGTATAATTTGAATGTATTTTTTTTCTTTTTCTTTGTTTTATGTGAACTTCACTGTAATACCAATAAAAAAGGTACTCTTTCTCTAATTGTTTCATTGTAGTTTAATTTGATATACCCAGGTGAGTGAACTTTGCCTCTCTAATATAATTTTAGCTAAAATAGTAATGTTATTACTTAACCTTTAGAAATGTAGGGTGCATATTATAGCAATTAGGTATTTACATGATCTCTAGATTCTAGGTTTAAAAATCTGTATAGTAATTCATAGCTATTTAGTTTCTATAATATAAATGGCAGAATAGATACATTTTATGTTTTTAAAAGAAAACACGAAGATCAGAAAGCAGCTTAAAGTATTGATGCCAGTGCTAATGGAAAAATAAAGTATCAATTTAATATTTCATAATAATAATCATAGTTACTATGTGCCAAGCACTGTTCTAAGTATTTTACTGTAACATTTAATTTGATAGAGGACAAATCTTAAGTGTGTCCTCTGGCTCTTTAATCCTTCGTGTTCAGTTCTGTAATCCATCTGCAAACTCCCTTTGATTTATTTCTTTTTAACTTTTTGGCAGCAGTAATAATTTTCAGTTTCAGTTTGCCAGTAGTCACTCCCAGGGGTTAACAAGAAAAGTGGGAATGGGGAGTCGGGAATAGAAAAGGTAAAAATGTTTAAACCGATAGCACTGTTGCTATGAAATCTTTTTTATAAAGGAAGATGAAGGACCTCTGACACTTTCCTGAGACTGGTTAGGAAAGTGGAACTTAATGTCACATGTATGAGGGTTTGCAGATATCACAGCTAACACAGAGACTGGAGTGGAAGGTTTGAGAATTGCGTAGTTGGTTGAATTGGTGGGTTAAATGTAAATTATTTCACCTTTCTTTTGAGAGTTAACTCCTAATAATTGAACCAGGGACAGAGGACCAAACTCAGTAGTAAAATGCTGCACATAAGTGTGTCACCCACAATAAGCAAACATGATTTGACAAGCAGCTCATTGACACCAAAGGAGAAGAGATTACAGAAGGTTTCTGGGAAGCAAAACATGATAAATGTCCTCTAACCACTTACTCATCCATCATATGCAAAACTCGGTTTTCTAGTTGAGTGTTCGAATTTTATTTTAGGTGAATGTTTTTTTCAAAGGCTTTTAAAAGAATTTAGTTGCAAACTCAGTAAATGCTCCCTGCCC